CACTGATCTTTGTGCTTTTCTTCAAGTGTTTATTTCGCCAAACTCTTTTATGGAGTTTTCCAAAAGCTCTCTATGCCTTTGCTAACCTGTTGTCCATCTCTCCGTCAATCTTACCATCCGAGGAGATGAGGCTCCCTAGGTAATTAGGTTGCTGGACTGATTTGAGCTCTGATTGACCAATGGTGATATGGGGATGATGGAAGACTTCCTGAGGTGCAGGTTGATGGAGAACTTCTGTTTTCTTTTAGCTGACTTCCAGCCCAAAGAGCTCAGCAGCCTCAGCAAAGCAGGACGTTAAACGCTGCAGAGCTGCTTCTGTGTGAGCGACGAGAGCGGCGTCATCAGCATAAAGCAGCTCCCGAACAAGATGGTTTAAGGTCTTGGTGTGAGCCTTCAAGCACCTTAGGTTGAAAGGGCTTCCATCAGTACGGTATCGGATGTAGATCCCGTCCTGATGAAGACGTCATGTGTGTTACATATTCATGACCCACCGGCAGTGGGCGGTGCTCTCTGTAAATCATGGACACACCCCTGGCGCCTGCGCACTTCTCTCTGCTGCTCGTCTCGGTGGTCGCGGGGGGTGAAGGCTCAAGGTCTTCCTCTCTCGGAGCGTGCGCAGTCGCTCAGCGCCTTCCCCTGGCGACGGCTCCTCATTGGCTGCCCGTCCGTCCACTCCGTGTCCCATTAGCTGTTCATTGGCTGCATTTGCTCCATCGCACCCTCCCATTGGCTGCCCCTTTGCGCCCCCACGCAGCTTTCCCATTGGCTGCCTCTGGGCAGCTCCCCATTGGCTGCTCACCGGCAACCCGGCTGTTCTCTGAGCAACAGCCCCGCCCCTTCCAATGGCACTGATTGACCTGTGCCCATTGCAGGGACCTTCACACCCTCCCAGCACCCGCAGCTGAACAGTCTCCCTTATAAACAGCAGTGCAACATTTTCCCAATAGCGACTGAACATTTTCCCTTCTCGTCCTGGGGCCAGGTACGGGGTGCAGAGGGGTCCTCATGTCTGGGAATGGGGGTTCAGGTGGTCCCAGTGCTGGATGAGGTGGATCAGGGGGTCCTGGTGCCCAGGAATAGAGATTCAGGGGGGTCCTGGTACCAGGAACAGGGGCATGGAGGGTCCCTGTGCCCGCAAATGGAAGTTCAGGGGGGTCCCAGTGCCCAGAAATGGGAGTTCAGGGCGGTTCCCGTGCTCAGGAATGGGAGTTCAGGAGGATCCCCTTCCCAGGAATGGGGTTTCGGGGGTCCCTTTGCCCAGGAATGGGGGTTCCACAGGCTGGATAAAGGAGTGTAGGTAGGTCCCTGTACCAGGGAAGGGCTGCAGAGGAGTCCCCTTCGTTAGGGTTAGGGTTAGGGTTAGGGTTAGGATTTAGGGTTAGGGTTTAGGGTTTAGGGTTAGGGTTTAGGGTTAAGGGTTTAGGGTTAAGGGTTTAGGGTTAGGTGTTAGGG